ATTCTGAGCATTTCAAGTTGTCGTCTACAGTCTATTATTTAATAATCTTATAAATGAGATAGATATCAATAATAGTTGTAAATTATACTTAACAAGTTTGGAATAGGAGGACATTTTTTAAAATCAAAGACAGAAAAAACAACAATTGTTTAGTGTATCAACGGTCCATTTCACATTTTTACTACAATTGTATGTCGCGGAAATCAAAGGTTATAAAATTTACTGGACCACCATGTTTCCTGACACACCCTGGAACGAATTCATGCCCTGTCATGCCTCATGCATAATATACAGATTTATTCTTGATATAATTATGCGTAAGAGTAGCTGCGTACCTTTCATTTTTAAAATAGATAGAAAAATCATTTTGAAACCTATTGGATAAAAATAATTAGACCTATTGGATACATATAATGAGACCTATTGGATACATATTATGAGACTTATTGGATACATATTATGAGACCTATTGGATACATATAATGAGACCTATTGAATACATATTATGAGAACTATTGAATACATATTATGAGAACTATTGGATACATATAATGAGACCTTTTGGATACATATTATGAGACCTTTTGGATACATATTATGAGAACTATTGGATACATATTATGAGACTTACATATTATGAGACCTATTGGATACATATTATGAAACCTATTGGATACATATTATGAGACCTATTGAATAAATATTATGAGACCTATTGGATACTACCTATTGGATACATATTATGAAACCTATTGGATACATATTATGAGACCTATTGGGTACATATTATGAGACCTATTGAATACATATAATGAGACCTATTGGATACATATAATGAGACCTATTGGGTACATATTATGAGACAGATTGGATTCATATAATGAGACCTATTGGATACATATCATGAGACCTATTGGATACATATCATGAGACCTATTGGATACATATTATGAAACCTAATGGATACATATTATGAGACCTAATGGATACATATTATGAGACCTATTGGTATTATGAGACCAATAATCTTATATTTGATCAACTATTATTACAATGGAATCCTTAAAACTAAAGACTACTGTTAGATTCAAGGTATGAACATTAAGAGTTCAATGAACATAAAAAACAGCAATTGTTTACAAGTTTACAACATAAAGTACACACAAGCTTGTCTGAATTTCGTCTTATTTAACAGTTGTATTGTTACCACTATGCTATCAATACAATTCGCCCTGTTTGCCCTGTAGGCATGTCCGGAAGAAACAATTTCAACTATTTTCTCCGATAAATTTATATTGGTAATAATATGTCTCTCCTTTTATCTATGGTTTAAAGAAAATTTTAATTTTAGAATTCCATCTTCTTAAAATCTTCAAAACTAACGACAGTGCACAGTACGTAAGTTTTGTATGAAAGAAAGACTAATATTTTTCGTAATTGAATTAGTTGAGCCTTACATATAAAGCCGATTACCACTTTTCTAATCTGTTGTTTATTAAAGAAATATGTATATTTTTATATTTATCATAGTTTAATAATTTATTTAAGATTTAAATATTTATTATTGCTAAAACATTTAAAGATCATCGCATCGGGTTTTAAATATCGCAGACATAAATAACATTACAAGTTTAAGATAAGTTTATGATTATTTATTTAATTTATTATTCGAGAATATCTCTCAGATTCTGAATCATGCTCGAATTGAGCTTCAGGTTCAGGTTCAGACAAGGGATTCTTAAGAGGTGGGCTCGGTATCAATTTCAGTTTCGGGACCTGAGCTGGGAACTTTTGAATGGTGGATATCGGGATTAATGCTTATTCAAATCTTTTTTTATCTCGAGATTAAATAATGCTTGTTCTTCTCTTGTTAGTAATCTTTAGATCGGGTTTAAGGATATCCCATTCTAAAGTTTTCAGCTCTGAGCTGGGAACTTTAGAATGATGGATATTGAGATCAATGCTTGATCCTCTCTTTTTCTTAATCTCGAGACTAAACTAATCTTGTACTTTTATCCTGAAAAGTGTATTAAATCAACCAATCAGAATCGCGTAACAGAAGCCAGGAAATTTGAAATTTTGCGCGCCATTTAAGATTAATATACAGAAACGGGAGGGACTTTCTAATTTTGAAAACCCGGTTTTTGATTTTTCTGCACTACATCCAAAAAAGAGTGGATTAAGCAAGAAATAAAAAGTGTCCGTATTGGACATTCGGATTTAGCAGCCGGGAATAAAGGTGTCACATTCTAAAGTTGTCAGCTCTGGTTCTATTACAGCTCTAGTTCAGGCTTAATAGTTTGCCAGGGTTTTGACTTTTGTTCCATTTTTATGAAGATATAAAAAATATATTTTTGATATCTTTTTAGCTTGATGTTCATCTTCGGCTCTGAAAACTTTATTTTGTATACGTTATCTTTTATTATAATATATATATATCCCAGCCTAAGAGAAAATATAACAAAAAGAATACCTTAGTTAAAGGGTTCCTCCTCCACAAACAGAATAAATAAAGAAACCAAAAACGAGCATTTCAAAGCGAAAGGTTCTTGAATGCAGTGAGTCATAAGCAAATGTTTAAGATTAATAATTTTGAATTTTGCAAAACTTCAAAAAAATAAAATCTTTAAAAGTCCAAAAACTTTTTTCTAAGAAACCAAGGCATTTCCTATCACTACTTGTATTCAAAATTTCAAGTGACTAATAGTGTGATACTGATATGTATAATCATTTATTGTCATTTGAGATTTCAAATTTCGTTTTTTACAAAAAATACTAAAACCAAAACTCCAATACCTTCTTGTAAATAATAATTATTATTAAGATTCACATGTATTGGTCTTTGGGTATATATCTCACTAATACACTTGATATATGTGAACTTGTGAAGCCCTTGACTTCTATGAATGTAAAATACTTCTTCTTAGCTTTGGTTTTATTAAGTGACCAGTTGAAAAAATAATGATAAAATGATTTAATTGCGCGCATGCAACTTGTTTTTGAAGAGATGGTTTGATTATAATAGTACAGATGTCAGACAAAAACAAGATTTTTCAAACAAGTTAAAATTAAATATGATTTAAGGACCACCAATAAAAAAAATCATTTTGATAAAACTACTCATTTGAGTAGTTGGATTTTAAACTATAAATGTATATTATAAGATAATTCACTGAACTTCCTTTACCCTGTATTACCCTGTAGTGTGCAATAATTAGGTTTTAGTCAATTATTACTTGTCAGCGGATTGACAAGAAAGGGGGAGGGAAGCTAAGAAATCTAAATATAGGGGTGATGGGGTTTGTGCACACTTAAAGGGACCGTTCACTTATTTGGGTAATTTCAGGGTAAACTAAACAGTCTATTCGCTCTTGATTGGTAATAGTCTTACTTTTCAAAGACAACTGTGGCCGGAGAAAAAGCCGATTTTTCGTTCAGAATTCGAGCGCAAAGGGACGGTCCCTCTCTACAGACACTAATTGATGTTTTTTTCAGTATGTTGTTAATCAAAATAAATTTCGAATAATTAATTAAACTGTAGTATCTAATCGTTAATTGTAAATGTCATTATTTTTTAATTTTTGTTGTTTTTTAACTTTCTATTTCTAAAATAACACTATTTTATCGCATTCAAAATTGTGTATTGCCTGTGTAAAAAGCTGAATTGAACGCGGCATGACAAATGAAAAGTTGTACACATACGCGAACAAAACCTACAAAATCTACGAAACAAAATACGAGTAATGATTAATTGATTGTCGTAGAGACGTCGTCTTTGTATACATATTGTACATGTTTTAATACGAAAAACGTAAATTTCTTGCTAACTCAAATATCAAAAGTTTTCATATTTTAGTACATGATAACGAACACATAATGACATTAAAATATAATAAATTTAAATGTTATTGGGCTGCTGTTACTGAAAAAAAAAACATCAAATAGTCTCTATAGAGAGGGACCGTCCCTTTCCGCTTAAATTCTGAACGAAAAATCGGCTTTTTCTCCGGCCACAGTTGTCTTTGAAAAGTAAGACTATTACCAATCAAGAGCGAATAGGCAGTTCAGTTTACCCTGAAATTACCCAAATAAGTGAACGGTCCCTTTAAATCAGACATATATGGGACTGCCCAGGCAGTGGTTTGCTGAAAAAAAACTAAACAATTTAGTGAGAAAGTTCAGCCCTGTCGTAACTAGGGGGGGGGGCAACAGGACAGGTGCCCCTTTAATCTAAGGCGAAAAAAGTGCTTTGTAATTTGCAAGACAAATCTACCTCCATTTTGGTCTCGGCGAAAGGCACACCAGACCACAAATGACAACAAAAGCTCTACTTTTTGGCCGCCATATTAATCTTTTGATTTTATTTGATTTGATTATTTGATGTACTCTAAATCATTATTTTCTAATTTTGGGCCACTAGTCACTTAATGACATATATAATAATTTAGAATATTTTATCTATCGTTTTTTTTTCAAATTAGAACATCTAATAAATGTGCAGTAAACATTACAAAATAATCAAAATCAAAAAATAAAATATAGATCTGGTTAGCCCAGGGCAAACTATCTCTTTGGTCCTGAGTCTGCAGTACACTACCAAATTGATTTAAATGCAATCATGAACATTTCTCTAAAATTTGCCGAGTCTTTGAGCAGAAAAACAATTCATAAAATATTTTTATTGTTTACGTATTTTTATGCTAAATCTTCGAGAAAATTTAAAAAATCTCTTTTTTCTTCAGATTAGAGTTGGTTTGTGAGGGCAAAAAGATTCTTCAGTTTTTTGTCGATATTTTGATCAACAGATTCAAAAGATCTAGATCCTAAGCACTGCTTTCAAGATGTATGTAGATTGTAGGCCCATAATAATTATAATTATATATTTAATAGGGAAAACTCCCAATACGAATCATGTCTGAGGAAAATTAGAGTAATGTTTTCGCACTCATTTTATGCAATTATACAAACTATAACATATTAAAAATATAAATTAATAGATATTGATTAGAATATAATATATTTGGAACCTGTAAAATGGTTGCTGTTGGACAAGTTATCCAACTTGGCAAACTCTAGATCATGAAATTAAATGCATATATTTCTGGTTTTATTGCACTGGTAACTTTACACTTTAAATTAACTGTACAATCATAAACTATAATAAATTCACACCTAAACTTTCAAATTTAGACTAGCATAGGCCCCCTGATATGAAGACTAGATAGTCGAAGGAAATTCTGATTCGTTCTGTGAGTAGATGAAAATGTATCCAGTCTCAGTTTCTCTAAAAATAAAATAAAATTTAAGAAAGAAATCAAAACATCAAAAATTTTGATAAACAGAAGTCGTGAGGTTCCTGATGGGGTATAAATACGTCACAATGACGTGTACAATCTCTATCTCACCTTTTTCTAAGATTCACCGACAAAGGGTCAAACGACCCAGGGTCAAACGACAAAGGGTCAAACGACACAGGGTCAAACGACACAGGGTCAAACGACAAAGGGTCAAACGACAAAGGGTCAAAAGTGCGACAAAGGGTCAAACGACAAAAGGTCAAAATGATAAAAATATTTTTTGATTTGAATCATAGGAAACTCGCAATTTTAATCACAAAAATCCGCCAAACTTTTTTGAAGATTTAAAACTTTAGTCTGTTTCTGGCTTCCATAATGGTCGGGTTGGCAATATAATGGACCATGTGGCCGCAGCGCTCGGCCCCCTAGCCTGTCCTAGCCGCAGCGCTCGGCCCAGAAATTGTCTTAACTAACCTAACCCGTGGCCGCAGCGCTCGGCCCCCTAGCCTGTCCTAGCCGCAGCGCTCGACCCAGAAATTGTCTTAACTAACCTAACCCGTGGCCGCAGCGCTCGGCCCAATAACAAAAAAATACTAACCGTCAAAATTAAAAAAAATTTGCCCTTTTGTTGCATTTTTTGACTCTTTGTCGTTTGACCCTGTGTCATTTGACCCTTTGTCGCGTTTTTGACCCCTTGTCGTTTGACCCTGGGTCGTTTGACCCTGTGTCGTTTGACCCTTTGTCGTTTGACCCTGGGTCGTTTGACCCTTTGTCGGTGAATCATTAAGGCTGTCCCACAAAACATGAGAGAAGCATAACAAATTGAAGGTCGTCTTTGATTTTTTATATAATTTGTTTCATTTATCTGACAACCTAATTTTAGAAGTAAAATTCTAAAGAAAATAATCACAAAATATTCCTAGTCTTGGCATTTCCAAAAAGTGGTCTGCCTTTTTTGTGCTTGTTCAGATTTTGACAATTTTTATTTTTTTTACAAATATGAATTCTGGACGAAATTTTATTATTATTGACAGTATAAAAAAGAGGCAGACCACATTTCGGAAATGCCAAGAATGGGAGAACTTTGTAATAATTGTTTTAAAAATGTTAAGTGGGCGACTTAATATCACAAATTAACTCAAACATGACGACTTTTAAATCGTCTTGCTCTTGTCCTGTTTTGTGGGACACCCTGTACATTGACACCCCCACACTATCATTTTCCTGTCAACCGTTGAGAAGTAATTATTGAATAAAAAGTAGTTATTATATAATAAATTTGAAGAGATAGGCATAGATTTTTAAAGGCAAATTAACGAACAATAGACGAACGAATTGGATCGTTCCAAAAATTAAAAACTATTGATTTTTTTCAACCGAACGAAAAAAAACACAGAAACAACGTTTTAAAATCGTTAACGATTGTTCGCATTTTAAGGATCAGTCAGACTGTCGATGAACGAGTTCTAGTTCATTCTTTCGAAAAAGATAGCTGTTTAACTTTACACACGATTTTTTTTAAAACTAACGTTTTATACTGAACGAACGATTTTTAATCGATCGAACTTAAAATGATAGTATTTTTACAATAAAACGATTTTTCCGAACAAACTTTCCAAAAGGTTAACGCATGATTTGTTGGAGAGAACTAATGAAAAACTCGAACTACGAACGAACGAATCGAAAAAAGAACGTGCCGATCTCTAATTATAGGGTCTACTGAGTCCAACAATATTTGTTATTATATATTTCTTGGTTTCCATCTAAAAATATTTTAGTTTTTGTTTTGTTTGCATGTCGATAATAACTCATTAACCCCTTCACTGTTTTGTCTCAAATGTTGATGGGGGAACTCGGTAAAACCACGGGAATGTTCTTCCTTGGTTAAAATTAGTGTTAAGGTCTACAGGCAAAAGTGGGGTCCCCAGTTCCACGCTAGTTCAAAAATAAATCCTCGTAAAATATTGTCGATTTTCTAGTTTTATAGAAGGAATTTTACCAAATAAAAAAGAGTAGAAAAACGGTTTGTTTTTATCGTGGTAATTAAACACCTGTTAGAAGGATCCTGTATTTGACGGACATCTGTATCATTGTAATCAAACCATCTCTTCGCATCACTCCTAGCAAAATGTTGAAAATTTTATAATCACATTATTTAGCTATTTTAGTCTTAACTTCAAATATTTCAAATGTTTTTAGTGAATATAAATAATAAAAAGTAATATTTTTTGTTCCGATTTATTAGTCTGTTTGTATGTTCGATCGATCAAACCTTGAAAAATTAGCTTCAAAGGAGTTGATTTTTTGCCACAAAGTCTGATTTTCTAATCTCTATATCTTTGTAACCCAATGTCGTAGACCTTAGATATTTCAAACTATTAATACTTATGGATAAAATAATCTAAGTTTGAAATATCAAAGGTTTTCATCAAAAGATTGCAAAGATATTGAAATCAGAAGATTTTAGTTTGTGGCAAAAACTCAATTCCTTTTGATTGAGAAATTGCATTAAACCCAATTATGAATTAAAAAATTTAGTTTCTAGGCAAAGTTAGGTTCCCACGCGAGTACTATACTATAACTGTGCTTATTGGGAAATAGAAATGTCATAAATAAATGAACAAATTTTGTTGTTTTACTTACATGGTAAGCCATATTGTCTTGATCCATTAAAATACAAATATTTCCGTTTGTAAAATTATTTTATTGAATACATCAATCATCAACTCTGATACTCTGATATCTTAAATGCGCAAATTGAAAACGAAAAATTCGGAACTTTTAATATTTGAATTAGAAAATTCAGTTTGTTTAGATCATCATGTTGGCACCATATACAGTACTCATATATATATATATATATATATAATATCAATATATTCCAATAGTTTTGTTTATTTCATTAAAGATTTTTAAATATTTTCTAAAAGCTTAAATTTTTTTTTGATTTGATTTAATAGAAAATTTTAGTTTAACAACATGGAAAAATTGTTGTTGAGAAAGTTGGTATTGGGGAAGTTGTGGCTGGGGAAATTCCGTTGTGGAAATTACCTGACACTATTTTTTTCACCAATATACATATTTACTGTGATGATCTGTATTTATGATCCACTGCACTGCACTGCACTACACTGCACTGCACTGCACTGCACTAGACTACACTGCACTGCACTAGAGTGCACTGTACTGCACTGCAGTAATTTTTAATTTTTAACAATCAACACACAGACAAAGTACCATGATGCTACAATGCACTAAAAGTATACCTAGCTGTACACTGTACTGTACTGTACACTGTTTCTTGAGTTGGAGATTGTTTCCGAACAACTTGAAGGTTTTGGGTTTATTTTTGTAACAGAAAGATGATAAAACCTACAGTTGATGATTTGGATGAAGATTTACACTCAACAAATGCACTGTGCTTTACTAAAATAAACGTTACTGTACTGCAAGTGCAAGTATACCCGTACAGTACTGCACTGTGTTTCACAACAATAAACTGTACTGTACTTACTGCACGTGCAAGTACTGAACTGTGCTTCACTACAATCTACTATACTGTACTGCAAATATACCAGTACATTACTCTACTGTACTAAAATAAACTGTACTGTAGTTTTGACTTAAGTCTACCTGTACAGTTTACAGTACTGCACTTTACTACAATAAACTGTACTGTACTATGTACTGCGAGTATAAATGTACAGTACTGCACTGTACTACAATTAACTGTACTGTAGTTTACCTGTAAACCTGTGCTCTATAATGCCCTGAAGTAGGAGAAGACCCGTAGTGTGAGATAATTGAAACCAATCTGTACTCTGAAAATAATGCTTTTCAAGTGACTCCATTTAAAGATAGGTCTGTTCGATTCACAATGGTACCATTTAATGCTTTTTAAGTGACTCCATTTAAAGATAGGTCTATCCGATTCACAACGGTACCATTTAATGCTTTTCAAGTGACTCCATTTAAAGATAGGTCTGTTCGATTCACAACGGTACCATTTAATGCTTTTCAAGTGACTCCATTTAAAGATAGGTCTGTTCGATTCACAACAGTACCATTTAATGCTTTTACTGATCAAGTATAAATCTGATATCCATGTTTTTGTTTTTAGTATACACTCCGAAAAATGCATGGGCATATATGAGTATTTAATTTTTTTAATGGACAATTTTCAATTGAGACCTCTCTTTGCTGAAAAAAACACCGCATGAAATTGCCAGAATTTAACACTTGTTTAGGTACAAAAAAGACAACTATCCGATAAATGTATCAAGGGTATGTGCGCCTCACTCGTATTTAAATGTAATGATCACTTGACGACAGTCCTTTAAAGTTTTGATTTTTATCGGGAATTAAGGGAGCTTCGCGGCTTGTATTCATGTCAATTAATATAATTTAACCTGAACTATCCTCTACAGTTGTTTCACTGTCGTCTGTATCCCAGTCCTCTTGTAATTTATCCGTTTTAGATCTGATCTAAACATAAATATTTAAAAAACGTTAACTTTATTACAAGTAATTATTGTACAGTTAAATGTTTATGACAGGTTTTAAACATTTTAATCAGATTAAAATATAATCACAGGTTTGGGAAAATACTAAGATTTTCAGAACATTTTAAGAGAAAACAATCAGTTAGCAACATGATAAAAAAGTTTAAAGATGTTTTAATTAAAATATTGGTTGCTAGGTGGGGTTTAAAATCGAATCAATCTTTTAGAATTATTTCCTGCTTCTATAAAAATATTTGCAAACTAACCGATTCCTCGACACTTAATCTCAGAGCAATCCTGAGCTCTTCCTCTTCAGTATTCAACTGTAATCTTTCCTTTTCCTCCAGGGTTCCGCTCAGTTTTCGGATCTTGAACTTCGTTCCTGACGATATATCAAAACTATCGTCTACCCTGCAACATTAAGATTAATTAAAACAATTAAATAAATTTTCCTAACCCCCCCCCCCCACTCACAGGTTTGATATCTACCAAATTAACTTATTTTCGACAAAATTAAGTTTTTAATTTAAAATGATTATGCATGCACACAGTAAATTACAATCATATGTTTCAAGTCGTGCACTCTAGAACTAGTTATCAGAACTAGTATTGTACCTGTGTTCTGGGGGATCCTAGGATATCAGATGTTGGCTGCCTGGTAACTACACTAGAACTTGACCTATACCTCTGTATTAGGAATTCTAAGATATTAGATGCTGGATGACCGGTGGGCGGTGACCGCACTAGAAGTTGACCTATACCTTTGTATTAGGAATCCTAAGATATTAGATTCTGAATGCCCAGTGACCGCACTAGAACTAGACCTGTAGCTGTATTCTAGAGATCCCAGAACTAGAACCAGAATTGTACCTGTGTTCTGGGGATCCTATAGTATCAGGTGACCAGCACCGCTTTCTAGCTGAATTGTTGCTGCTGACAAGACTCTCTTCTAGAGCTCTTTGCAGATCAGAATCCTGTGGATTAATACAAAATTTAAAAAGAACTGTCGTTCGAGTTTCAAATGACGCTCCCTTTATCAAATCATAGAGTGCCATTTATTATCATATCTCCCCAAAAGTATCTAATCAGAGCTGGGAACTTTGTATTGTAAATATCAAATATCAATGCTTGATCTCGATCTTTGGTTAATCATCAGATAAATTTCATCTTTATTTGATATCCCCCGCATGGTAATTGCTCTCAGTCAGGGGTTGAAGCCAGCTTTGATCAGGGGAGGAATAACTAAAATGAAGGGTACCGGATTAACCGGGTTTTGGACTCAGTCTGAGCCCATTTCTTCCTTTTGCGTTGTGGGTATTCCGATTGCGTTGTGGGGATTCCGATTGCGTTGTGGGTATTCCGATTGCGGTGTAGGGATTCCGATTGTGGTGTGTGGATTCCGATTGCGTTGTGGGTATTCCGATTGCGTTGTGGGGATTCCGATTGCGTTGTGGGTATTCCGATTGTGGTGTGTGGATTCCGATTGCGTTGTGGGTATTCCGATTGCGTTGTGGGGATTCCGATTGTGGTGTGTGGATTCCGATTGCGGTGTGTGGATTCCGATTGCGGTGTAGGGATTCCGATTGCGATGTGGGAATTCCGATTGCGGTATGGAGATTCCGATTGCGGTTTAGGGATTCCGATTGCGATGTGGGAATTCCGATTGCGGTATGGAGATTCCGATTGCGGTGCAGGGATTTCGATTGCGGTGTGGGGATTCCGATTGCGTTGTGGGGATCTCATCTACCACGACCATTACATTAATTTAATAAAATTTAATCGCACACAGTCTGGGGTTGAAGCCAGCTTAGGTCAGGGGAGAAATTACTAAAATAAAGATTGAGATCCTCAAATGTAAAGTGCCCACAGTGGATATCAAGTTTAAAAGTTTCCAACACAAAAGTTCCCAGCTCAGTATACACCCTTCTGATAAAGTTAGAAACTAACCTCTGCGCTTGTTTCAGCAGCTTGCTTAGCAGATATATACGTCATATACTCAATCTGATCCTCCTCGTTCATCTCAGATATATCATGGTCGCTCTTATCTAAACCATGGGAAATTTACTAAAAAATGCCCCCTTTCATTTTTCACGATTGTAGATTTGTGATCAGGGGCGGATACAGGATTTAAGTGAGGGGGGGGGGGCAAGATTTTTTAGGAACAAAAAAATTAATAATTAGGAACAAAAAATCGTGCCGCAGGCGAAATTTTTTTTTGACATAAAAGACTCAAAAAGAGTCAAAATTAATGACTTGAGACTAAAAAACTAGATTTTTAACTTTAAGGAACAAAATTAACGGATTAGAACAGGAATTTAGGAACAATTAAAAGATTGTTCAGGAATTAGGAACAAAAATAAATGATTAGGACAGGAATTTAGGAACAATTAAAAGATTGTTCAGAAACTAGGAACAAAATTAAAGGATTCGGACAGGGATTTAGGAACAATAAAAAGATTGTTCAGGAATTAGGAACAAAAATAATGGATTAGGACAGGGATTTAGGAACAATAAAAAGACTGTTCAGGAATTTGGAACAAAAATATTGGATTAAGACAGGGATTTAAGTTGGGTCGGAAACAGTATTAGGAACAGGACACAATAATAGGAACATTAGCAATTTAAAAACAAAAAGAAATTACTAGTTATACTTAAATGCATCAAAATTAGGACCAATATTACAATTTTGATAAATGAGTATTGATTAAGGAACATTACTAGATATGAACAACATTATAACTTAAGTCTAGTTTCTTACAAATTTCTAATTCTAAATTTATCGTTAACAATAACATTTACTTGTTGTCGTTGATTTTTATGTGTTATTAGTACACATTTCGAAAGAAAGTCAAGATTTCCATTAAATAAAAAAAGCTTGAAATTGAAAAACACATACGATTTATAAAATTGGGAACATTTTTTGCCTCGAAATCTCAAGGAGGGGCTACGCCCCTCCCTGAATCTGTCAGGGGGTGGCGAATGTCCCCCCGCCACCCCCCTGTATCCGCCCCTGTTTTTGATTATAGATATTGTGATTGTAGATATCTAAATCATGGTGGGAAATAAACAAACATATTTAATGAATGTAATGAAGTGTGACTTTTGAGAAAATTCATTCCCAAATTGGGGGAATTTAAAAAACGAAGACGACATCGTCAATCAGAAAATCATTCTCTTCAACTCTTTTCACAAATAATTAAAATCATATTGCAACTCCGTGAATTTTTACTTGACTTCTCCGCTCATTTCCTCATAACAGAGCCTATAGAAGGAAGTAAATTTGGTGGAGATCGATTCTGTTTGGATTTAGCCTTAACCCCCCCCCCCCCCCCCCCCCCCCAACATAAAAACCTTTTCTTTATCCATCTATTTAGTAAATTCATAAGTGAANGTTGAGCCCCCCCCGTGGAAAGAAAAAAAATGCAAGGCCCCCCTGGACAAATTCCTGAATACGCCCCTGACCCCCCGAACACTCTTTTAATGTAATTATGTTTATGTGACCATTTTCATCTATCTCTAATTTGTAATGGACATTGGACACTCGTATTTAAATATCTGTAAATGTGATAATTTTTATCTTTCTCAGATATGTCATAGACACTTCAATCTAAATTATGGTAAACATAAGCATTAATCAATTAGGCGATACTTCTTCAGAAAATGGATGGTTTTTAATTATAATAGTTGGTTCACCTTTAAACTTTGCTGGGGTCCCATTCAGCTTGACAGGAGGTGAGTCTTGGGACGGATAAAACCGTGGTTTGGGAGGAGAACTTGATGGTTTAGGAGTTGGCGTTGATGATAGACGAAAAGAATTGGGCGTTCTTTCAGGAGAGATAAAAGAAGGTTTCTTCAGTGTCTGAGGAGTTGAACTTACTCTGTCAATGCTTCACCAAAAAATCATAAATAAAGTTTCAAGGGCCCCTCCATGTGAAGATGGCAATGCCAGATTTACGGTGGTACTTTTTAAAGCTTCGTCTGATCAAGTATGAATTATAAATCCATGTTTATAATTTTAAAAACTAATTATTTTTCAACTGTGGTTTCTCTACAAAGTGACTTGCGCATTTACTGAAAGAATACCATGGAGAAATAAACAGAATCAAACATCTTTCAAGCGACGTTACCTTACACATAATTGATCAGATGCAGGTTTCACGTGTACAGTTGAAATCGTGCACGTCCATCTTTAAATGGAGGATTACTTGAAATTACACCTAGAGCCCATTTAAGGCTATTTCTAAACTATCAAAATCATGTCAGGGTTTTTAATTTTCTTTAAAATTTTTTTATACACGAGTGTATTCGGAAATTTTCAACATTTTATTCCAGCTATCACAAGAAAAATAAGGAATATTTAGCGGACAAGATGAATTTTTAGCTTGAAGATTAAAAAAGGGGGAATTTAACGTGCCATTCCTGTCAAATTCCCTACCCCCCCCCCTCGCCCCCTAAATCATTAGAAAAAAATGTATTATTTAAATAAGAAAAAAATAAGTTTTGAGGTGAAGTAACCTTGGAGAGTTAAGCGGGCTAACTCCAGTAAGTTCTTCTGAAAAGGTGGAGCACCGCACAGATTTATTATTTGGATTATCTTCAATTCTTCTCTCTACACTTGATAATATCACGGAATGGAGATTATCTTCTTTCACCAGTTCTAAATGGAATTTGTTTTACTCCTAGTCTACTGTTGTGTCTCAAATCTGTGACTAGTGACTTATCTTTCCCGTTTATGACTAAACTTTAGACGTTGGATATCTCAAAGTGCCAGGGTTTCACCACCTTTCTCGATATAAGAGTTAAACGTCAATCTAAAAGTGTAATCCTCAGTTTAATCACCCTTTATTTTAAGAATTGATGGTGAAATTTTTTTGTAAAATACTATGTAGTTGAGCGGAGGGCGCAGTATTGTAGAGGGATTCATTCATAATTGTGCAGCAAAAGCGCAAGTCAATCTTAAAAATGTAGCAGGGATGACTGTACACAGAAATCTATTTTTAACTCTCTAATTCCAGGGGAACCCATGGCCCGGGGCTGGGCACAGGTTTCCATTGTTTTATATCCATTCCAGAATTAATACAGTTTAGCACAATTCTTGGAGCATTATCAACATGAAAACCAAAAATTAGAAGATGCAAATTTTTGTTTTACTCCACACATCTTTACTTTCTGAGCAGATATACTTAAAACAAATTGATCAGATAATTAACAATTCGTTTTTCTTCTTCTTCTGTTTCTTCCATAAATTAGGAGTTGGTACAATACAACATAAGTGCAGGGTAACGTTAGATAAGATAAGATATCGTTTAATGCTAAAAATAAATATAAAAACTTTTATGCTAAAGTACTTTTCTAGCTATTTATTGTTTACAGATTCATGTACAGTGTACAGGTAGGTACATTTACATGTTCAATGTGCATGTGCAGGTACATGTGTTAATGTGCTAAAGCAACTAGGATTACCTTTTTCGCCTGAATCCTTCAAGTTTTCTGAACACTGGTTTCTACAGAACTGTTTTAGGCTAAAACTTCTGGGGACTCGGACAGCTCTAAAAATTGGAGTTAAAGGAGCTGTAAGCGTAATTTATATATTATACATTAATGTTTTTAATTTTAAAACCTGATAATTTTCAATAGTGGGTTTTCTACAAAAGTTACACGAAAAAAATACTTTAAACCAAGAAAGCCTTAGAATGACTAGGGTAGCTTTGTCTGATCAAGTATATATTATACAATATACATTGATGTTTTTAATTTTAAAACCTGATAATTATCAAGTGGGTTTTCTACAAAAGTTACACGAAAAAATACTTGAAACCAAGAAAGCCTTAGAATGACTAGGGTCGACCGAAATTTCGAGTTCAATCCCTTTACACGCTTTTCCAAAGGCCTTTTTATAGCACTTGATTCTAGCAGCCGATGTACTTGATTGGCTTTGATCAATGAACACAGGCCATATTTTTGTATCTTTTATCTATTAAAGGGATTGTCGGCGCAATTTTAAGTGACCTCTCATTTAAGGAATGGCATGCCTGATTCACATTGGTTGAACCTTTATTTAAGCAAAAACTTGGAAGACTTCGGAGTTGTTCTATAAAAAAAGTTCTGTGAATTACCTTATATTATTACTGCAGTATAGATCATCAAATTCCCTTTGATATAGAAATCAGCATAAAATATAATCACTTTTCAGTTAAAATAAATTTCGCATTTATCCTTTACCAGAGAAAGGTTTAAAGGGTAACGTTGTGGATTAGATATACCATTCTTGAAATTAAAACTTCAATCCCGTTAAGGCTTATCTTGCTGTTATGTTCGTATGTTCTAGTGAAAAGTGTTACCTAGATATCTTTCTCCCATTACTATCATACCGTTTCAGAACAACAATCAAAATTCTGGAAAAAAATAATTCGAAACTCTTATTAAAACAACGCTTTGATGTCATCATTTCGACTGTTTTGTAATATATAAAAAGAAAAGTGATACCAATTCTCTTATGCAACTAAAACAGAGGGGGGGCAATGAGTGCTCAGACCCTCCTCCCTGGGTCAGTAAAAACTGTGATTTCCGGGGATTTTTCAGGCCTCAACGGACACGGGTGCAAAGCCCTCCTTCCTCCCCAAGGAAAGCTTTTTTTTAAGTACCTGGCTAGCTGATTTATGTGTGTTGAGGTGCTTGCCTTTTCTCCTTTACATTCCTCGCAACGGCGCTCCCGCTCTTCTACTTGGAAATTCTGCGAGATAAGTTCAAGCAAATCCACCGCGGTATTTGCGCTCACACCGTCAGATAAACTTTTCGCGGATTTATAAGCTTTTAAATCTTCTTGGATTCTTAGCTTAGGGCTCGGGTGTATTTTCAGATCTGCTAGTGGAGGTCTGCTGGTAAGATGACGGCTTGGTGGAGCTGACTTTTCTCGGAAATTCAGGTCAAAGCTGTCGGAAGTAGTGCCCCCTAAATATCCTTACTTTTAGATCTTTAATATTGTTAAATTTGCAATTACGTATAGTGCGACCCATTAATGGTACGTAAATGATTTAAATAGTCAAATATACAAACACCAAAATTATGCAATGCAGTGTACACTGAACACACTACACAAATCCATTATACTTAGTAAGTTGATTTTAAGGCTTCGGCTGAAACTTTGTAACAACAAATACTGCATATCTGTCGTCTTTCTATTCCACAGTTAAATAGGTTTCCTGTAGAATAATAAGATAATGCTAAGTTAGATTTAATATGAATTTTTACCTATCACGGGAGCCATTATTCCTTTCTCCACAGCCTTCTGATATTCTGATATATCCTTGAGCGAAAAATGTTAAAAAATATTAGAATGAAAATGTTGACTGAAGTTTCAAGTGAAGCTAGACCATCTATTTAAAAAGTGGCATATCCGATATCCTACTGTAACCTTGAAAACTTTCTCTGATAAAGGATGAATCAGATTTCCAGCTGAAAATTGACCTCTTTTAACTGTTGTTTCTCTATTTATACTGCAGAAATGATGAGGATAAACCAAAGTTAGAAAAACGACGATATCTTCCTTTATGGTTGCTTAAATAGAGGGATTAAATCGTGCCGATAAACCAGTTTCAAAGTAGAGATCACTTTAAATTATGTCTACAGCCCCTTTAAGTCAAAGTAATTCAAGAATGCGATAGTTTTTGTTTAAAACGGCAAAGAGTAAAATTTATATCGAAGCACTTTAACATCATGGAGAATTTGGTTCTTCTAGGTTAGAACCATATGTTGCTCATTGGGAACGTTTTTTAAAGCATAGATAGTGTAGTGGGTAGGTTTGTATATACAGTGTATACCAATACAAAGAAGACGACTTTTCTATTAAAGTTTTGATTTCTAACAAGTTTTTTTACAATCTACAGAGAGTTGTTATTTGGCGGCTTCTCTTTGTTTCTATGTTTATCTGTTTGAAAGCTTGGTAGAAATCAAACATTTAAATCAAAAGTCGTCTTAATTCTATTAATAAATACGTCGACGAATGTCGAATGTAACTTTAAAAATATATATTATATCTTTGTTTATTTTTTACCAGTGTTTGGGACGAGGCTGTTGGACTTTTCTCTGGAGTATTAAACATATCTCTAAACTTGGACTTTGGAGGAGTAGAGGTTTGTATTTGAGGAGAGGGTAGGGAGCACCACAACTCCATCTCTGATTGAACAACGGAACTATGCTTCCCGCAGGATAAACAACTAAACAGATTTAGAAATCATATTTATTATTACTCGCATTTTAGGGCGTTCCGCCCCCATCTTCTATTTTAATTGTGAACATGCTTTTTATGTACAACATCGTAAAACAAAATAAAAACAAGTTCGCGGATCTTAACAAAAATTTAGTGGATTTTAAAATTTTCAAAAATGTAATGAAAATCAAATTTTGATGGGAGGCAAATATTTGAAATTTTGATCATTCATAAACCTTCCCTGGGACCACGTGAGGTTCCACACAAAATTTGGGCCTGATCGGTTCCGCCGTCATGAGGTTTATTGGAACCAAACAAACATACAAACAAACAAACAAACACCCAGACAAGCTAAATTTATATTTAGATTGTAAATAAATCATACTTGGGTGTACAATTAAAACCAGAGGAGCTTCAAGGTCATAAAGGTGTAACAGTAATTTCGCATACATTTTTTTGATCTTACTAGAGCTTGTGAGTTATAACAAAATTTAACCGTTGATTTAAAAATCCAGAAGGTATGGTTGATTTGGTTAACTTGAACGAACCTTGAGCAGGGGGAATGAACTACTCGATATTAGATGGTAACTACTCGATATTAGATGGTAACTACTCGATATTATATGGTATCTACTCGATATTAGATGGTAACTACTCGATATTAGATGGTATCTACTCTATATTAGATGGTATCTACTCGATATTAGATGGTAACTACTCGATATTAGATGGTAACTACTCGATATTAGATGGTAACTACTCGATATTAGATGGTAACTACTCGATATTAGATGGTATCTACTCGATAACCACGTGTTAACTCTTTGGTTAAAGCACAAAATAAAACACATACTTTGACAATTCCTCTTTCTTGAACATGAAATCTTGAACGGGATTCCTAGCTTTCCTCTCTAAACTACATTCTGTAAAATAAAGTCAAAATAAGGTTTTTAGTTAAATTTTAAATTAAATTCACATTCATTTCAATTAATAATGCAGAGTTTTTAAATTCATTTTATGTTATTCATTTTAGATTTTAAAATGCCTGCAGTTATTGCTTTTGTTATTATCAAATTGCTTGTTGTTTTCTTCGATATTATTAAAACTCCCTGTCTTCCTATTGTTCTTATTATTACAATGCCTGTTTTTCCTATTATTATTAATATCAACATTATTAAAATGACCGTTTTCTTTTATTAAAATGCATTTGTTTGTTACTTAGTAATTAAGATTCCTGTTTTGATATTGATATTATTATAATGACTGTTTTTACTTTTGTTATTAATAAAATGTATTGTTAATATTAATTACAATCCAAGTTATTGTCATCAATCAAATTATTGTTATTGCAAGGTTTTATCTAGAATTAATCTGGGTGAACATTCTACACCAATAACACTTGAACAATTTTAAATAACAAAAAGACACAAATAATCTGCCAAAAAGTGAAGTATTACAACTTCAAAAAAAAACTCTAGATAAACCCCTGTGTTATTGTTTTTGAAAATTTGGCTAGTTTTGTTATTGTTATTATTGAAATCCCTACCACTGCTCAGCTGAGTGTAGCTCTCTGTTATTGTATCAAGAAATATACTCAGGCACTCATTCGCATCCTTTTATAGCATTCTTGTCAGTCATATCATGAGACAACAAGGTTTAATCAGTCAACAAAGTTTAATCAGACAACAAGGTTTAATTAGACAACAAGGTTTAATAAGACACCAAGGTTCAATCAGACAACTAGGTTTAATCAGACAACTAGGTTTAATCAGACAACAAGGTTTACTACTTTTTTACTCTACAGGGGTTTGGTCCATCACCATCACCGAATTTTAAAGGTTTAATAAGACTACAAGGTTTAATCAGACAACAAGGTTTAATAAGACAACAAGGTTTAATCAGTCAACAAGGTTTAATCAGACAACAAGGTTTAATGAGCCAATTAGGGTTCCCAAATAAGACAACTGGAAAACTCAAATCAAATCAAAGATGAATGTGAAAGGGAACCCTTAGTGGAAACCTAAGTTTTTCCAAAGGAAGAAAGTTAAAAAAGAGGGAAGGGAGGGAATGGTAATGACAATACTGACCTGCATCTTAGTTCCCTGGAACCTGGTGTTAACCTGCTCAAGACAATGTTTAATATTCTCCAACCTTCTTTGTAGTTTCTCCTTGTCAAACACCTGTACAGCACAGGGGTATATATTTTATTATTCTCCAACCTTCCTCGTAGTTTCTCCTTGTCAAACAACTGTACAGCACAGGGGTATATATTTCAATATTCTCCAACCTTCCTCATAGTTTCTCCTTGTCAAACACCTGTACAGCACAGGGGTATATATTTTAATATTCTCCAACATTCCTCGTAGATTTTCACCTATACAGCACAGGGGTATATATTTTAATATTCTCCAACCTTCCATGTAGTTTCTCACCTATACAGCACAGGGGTATATATTTTAATATTCTCCAACCTTCCTCGTAGTTTCTCCTTGTCAAACACCTCTACAGCACAGGGGTATATATTTTAATATTCTCCAACCTTCCTCGTAGAAAGAGACAGTCGTTCTAATTTCAATTTACCCTATAATTAAGGGGCATGCCTGATTTTTAAAGATTAACGGCAACCTTCAAACCTAAGTCTTATCAAAAATGTGAGAGAAACTTTTGTTTTTCTAACGAAAAAGTGTCAAATTCTGACATTCCATTCAATTGTTTTTTAATTTTTTAAGTGACCTGTAGAATTCTACATCACACCCAAATAGAAAAAAGTTTTAGACATCTCTTGAATAGCTTTAAACAATCCATTTAGCATGATATTTTACCTTTATCTCCTTTACATTAATGAGGTAGATTAAGGAGATGATAAAATAAAAGGGCTTCCTCTCATCTGATGAACCATAGTTCTTTAACATAGGCCTAATATAAACATTTTACTTCAGAAAACTAATTTAAAAATCTTTGAATTTTAGTCAATGTCATTATTAGTTGAATCAAGAAAATTCCAGCCATGCAAAATAGATAGAATCAAATCAGTCCTAGCCACATGCCCCACGGTTGAACATATCCGGCCCAAATATTTTTGTGGCAATTCAGATGACCCCAAAGTAAAGGTTTTTTGATGGTTAAAGATGAAAAATTAATCCCATAAAAATGTTGCAACAGAAAAATTCTAGAAATAAGATTTTCTCAGAAAAATGGCTGCTTCAACAAACTAAAATTGTTGTTAGAAAAAGGACGAATTGTTTAATTTTTATGGGGACTGAAAACATAATTTTGAGTGACCCTCCATTTATAGATGACATGTCAGATTCACAACGGTACATTATAAAACTTTTATCTGATTAAGATTAAGCTATTAATAATTTTCTTCTTGAAATTAAATTATTTTTAATTGGTGTTTCTCTAAAAAGGCTACTTGCGCATTTCTGATTACAGAAACGAAGGTTTACGTTTAATTTTAAAAATCAAACACTTGCCAGAAGAACGGCGATATTTTCAACTATATAGATTAGATAAAGGACAAAGGTTGAAAGGGCACCTTTGTGAATCTGGCATGTATCTCGTCACTTTAAACTACGGCACCAGTCCCTTAAAGTGCTCAAATAAATTACCCTAGATTCAGCATATTTGAAGTAAAGGTGGGTAGTCCCAGTAAAACCTAAAAATAAAACTGTTTCTTCATAAATCAGAATCTCATCTTGGCCAATCATAAAAGATATCAATAAAAGTATAATGAATGAGTGAATATGACAAAGTAAAACAGTAAAATTAAGTAAAACAAAAAATGAAAATGAAGAAAAATCCAAAAGATATTTTCCTCCAAAATCAAAAATCTATTAAATAAAATATAAAATTAGATGATAGTCCGTATTTTCCGATCATAAACATTAAACATATTACATGGAAAAATATAAATTTCATACTTTTATTAAAACGCTGTAAAAGGAAGCATTCCTGATTCCTAACGGTACCCTTGAAATCTTTATCTTACTAATGATGTTGAAAATATCCAAATTTCTCTGGGTTGAAAAGTGTTTGATTTTAACAATTTCCTCAATTGTTTCTAAAGCAAAATTCTGCAAGTCATTTTGTTGAGAAATTAAAATTTATAAAATAAATTTTCAATAACTTATGAATTCATAATCAAGGAAAGCTAATTAAGGGCGCCGTTCTTAGTCGGCCATGCCACTCTAGAGTAAATTGAAATTACTATTGAACTACTATCAGTAATACAGTATCTACCATCGCCGTATGTACCTTAATGATATGTTTAAAGATATGAAGTATTATAACTTATTTTATTCCCTTTCAATACCTGTAGCACAGAGTTTAGATAGCAAGTATTCCCAAAATTCTGTAATCCTAAAAAAATTGATTTTGAGTTAATTCAAGTTTTGTAAAATGTAATTTTTAGGGATTTTAACATTTCTATTTCTTTTAAAAAAAAATGCAGACTATGCTGTTAAAAAAGTAAAAACATTTCAATTTGTATTAGTTTAGTCCAATTCACTTGTATACATTAAGCGCAACTTTAGTGAACCTCCATGCAAAGATGGCATTGCCGAACTCACAACGGTACCCTTAGATACTTTGTCTGATCAAGTATGAATTAGATAGATATCAATGTATGTCACTTTGAAAACTGATATTTTTAATTCTATTTTCTCTACAAAAGTGACTTTCGCATTTCTACAGAAGAAAGCATAGAGGAATTATCAGAATCAAATATTTTAACCCTTGAAAAACAACAATATATTCCACATCATGGATCAGATAAAGGTTCCACGGATACTGTTGTAAACCGGGTACGGTTGTGAATTGCCATCTTTTTATAGAGGGTCAAATTCCACTTACAGTTCATTCAGGTACAGTGAAACCCTTAATATAGAATATATTGAAAGAATTCATCAAATGTCATATTCTCCACTTTTTGATAATGGAATGTTGCAGATATTTAGTTTTTTAATTAAATGATTATATGGAACTCTTTAAAACTGTTCCCGCATATTCATGGCTATTTATTTATTTTCGCAAATACTGAATTTACGTAATATAGAATAAAACTCATTGAAAAATTGTCAAGACGACATTTAATAAATTCTTCCGATGTATTCGTTATTAAGGGTTTCACTGTAGAATGTATAACTTGATATTGTTATAAAATTGTATTTACCAATGAGATGTGGTGGAAGTATGTCCGGGATCCTGTCTTCATCTTCTTTGATCTTGTATTCTTTAAGCATCCTGTTTTTGAACCCCCCATTTTCAATCTTGTTCTCTCCCCTTCTCCTCTTCAAATTCTCATTTCTATTCTCATCATTTTCTCCAGTGGTCTTGTTCTCATTCAGAAAGCTGATTGTGTCATTAATTGGTTTGCGATCTGGGACTGAAAATATACAAAACATTGAGTACAATGGGACCACTTAGACCACATAGACTGTAGAATTAGAAGGCGACTGTTAAACTCAAGTTATGATTTTACACAGTCATAATCAGTAAGACCCGGAATAAATTAAAGTAATTCCGACGACTTTACAATCTAATTTTAAAAATGACTGAATAGCTCTAGTCCTGCCATTTCCAAAGTGGAGTTTGCCTTTTATGTGCGTTTAAAATTACCAAGGATTAAATGTCAATTAATTCTGGGTCTTTCTGGTTATGTGTAATCCAATGCAAATCAAAAGAAATTGTGCAATGTGAAGGAACCCATTTGGTTTGAATATATATTGTTACATAAGTTAACCTTATACCACAGCTTTATGGGTCCTACTGTATTATCACTATTATCCTAACTTTGTTCAAACGTGGTTAAACAATAAAAATCATTTAATTTCAATAGTTAAAAGTTTTGCTATGTTTAGATACTTTTAAGCTTAGATTGTAGTTATCTTTCAAAGCTTAAAAGGCAAAAAAGTTAATATTTAAAAAAAATTAAATTAAAAAAATTTACCTTGAAACAGGTTTCTACGGTTGATAGATCTGTATCTGAGCTTTGGATCAGAATTACCACTGCTTCTATTTATCTTATCATCAAGAGTCCTAGAAAACGTAAATTGGCAACATTTGTTTGAAGTTGACGTGGTACATGGAAAACGAATATTGGTAACATTTGTTTGAAGTTGATGTGATACATGGAAAACATATATTGGTAACATTTGTTTGAAGTTGATGTGGTACATGGAAAACGTATATTGGTAACATTTGTTTGAAGTTGATGTGGTACATGGAAAACATATATTGGTAACATTTGTTTAAAATTTGATGTGGTACATGAAAAACGTATATTGGTAACATTTGTTTGAAGTTGATGTGGTACATGGAAAACGTATATTGGCAACATTTGTTTGAAGTTGATGTGGTACATGGAAAACGTATATTGGCAACATTTGTTTGAAGTTGATGTGGTACATGGAAAACGTATATTGGCAACATTTGTTTGAAGTTGATGTGGTACATGGAAAACGTATATTGGCAACATTTGTTNCCCACAAAAAAATCATTTTTAAATACTTTACTTTGCAGAGAATAATAAACTTACTTAGCAGGGTCCCCGGTTTTCTTCATTTCTAGAATCCTATGTCTAAATAAAAGCTAGTGTAATTTTGTAAAAAAAAAAAAAATTTAAAAAGCCAAGTTCAATCAGGCTTCATAGTATTATTATATATGATATAAAGGGCCATTTTATGAAAACTCATTCAGCAATAATTTGACTTTTATAAACATATTTTAACAAACTTTTTATTACAAAAGAATGTTCAACAGTTTCATTGTCTCTACGTTTATTATTTAAATTATTAATTTTCATAGTTTCTCTTCCTTGAACAAAAATACTTACTTCGTACTGTATCCACTGCTATTTACAACTGGCTCTGTAGGTCTAAAAAAATGCAAATATTACTTGTCGAACATCAATTATTTAGAATTTTGAAATGGGGATCTGGTTTCATTTAGATACACAGATTTGAAGTAATGGATATTTTATCAAGCTTTGAAGCTTCTACCAATTTTTCAGTTGTATATTATTGTTAAAAGAATTGCAGAATAAAACAAATAACCCCCCCCCCCCCCACCCCTCTCACTCCCCCATTCTGCAATTTTCAGATTACTATGCTAATTTAAATTTGTAGCCTAGCTGCCTGCTTCACCCCCCCCCCCCCCCGAAATCATCAGTACTAATCAAGCTACAATAACGACTATATTTTCAACCTGTTAAGCAAACACAGTGAAGGAAGTGTAATATTAATGTTGTTAGAATCAATATGTTGCATAAAATAAAAACATAAAACAAAACCAAGCCTCAACCACACATATCTAAAACAATTAAAAACTTACCCACTCACCCCCGATAGAAATTCCTTTACAAAATCATCCTCAGAATCTGTTTCTTCCTTTTCAACAACAATCCCTTTCTTTGGTTTATATGCCCTAAGAGATTTATTCTTAGGATCTTTGCACAAGGTATTTGGGGATACTGCAACCAACACATCCCTAAAATAGGATTGTTAAATAATTAAACATTAACCTTAATCTTTGTGGAATTTGAAGAATTCTAATAAACTTTCAATGTTCAGGATTTCTGNATATATATTCTGTTATATTATAATAATTTAATTTCAGTTCACAGTGTGAGAGCTGAAGTTGAGGATAAACTACTTCAATAAAGCTTATATAAACATAACACTCGTGTATTAATGTGGTGCGCTGGTTATAAGGGAATACTCGCCCTAGATATGAGTGAGCTTTTATGTTTTTAAAGTCTCAAAAACAACGTTACGAGTACAATCTTGAAATTATTAATCAGTTCTTATAATCTTGTTTATTTTAATTAAACAAAGAGGGACCAGATGTAATGAATAGTGAGAAGTAGTTGAATTAAGTAGTTTAAATTGAACAACTTCTCTTGTGCGCCAAGTCAAGCTGAAAAGAATTTGCTAAACATAGTCTAGACACAATTAGACTTGATCTCACTATTCAATATATCAGGTCCCAGGGTCTTTATCTGGTTTATAAAAAAAAGAGTCATGTTCTGCATTATATCATTAAAACGCTTTATGATGAAGAACTGTTCACTGTACCTTCCCACGGTGGGGTATTTTATGGGGTCATGGGGGGGGGGGTTGACTGTTTTGTCACAATACTCCTCTTAAAATGCTTTGCATTTGTCTTGTGTTTCATGTTGAGAATGAACAAAATTTTGAATATATTCTGATAATCTTTTCATTTACAAATTTCATGAATTGTAGCTAGCATTGATTTATAATGATTTCAATTTATGTTTACTTTTCCCGTTCATATATTTATCCTTGAATGGATCCTGTAAGTTTAATCCCGCAATATATTTAGATGTCATCTTTGTTCCAGTGAGTATTTCAGAAGAAAAGTTTTATTTGTAACTTTTTAAATCACTTGTTAAGTGAAATGGGTCTGTTTACACTGCACAGTTGTTGTGTTAAATGTTCAATTTAACTATCTAAATTCAGAACGTAAAATTTAAAATTCTGTCAATTTTGCCAAATAAACAGATGGGTGTGCATTGTGCGAAGTCATCATGCTTCTAAGATTACCATGGAGCAATGAAACTAACATCTCTATTACAAGGGAAATTAGTTCCAAAACTAACACTTGGCCCATTTTTAACACGGAGTTTTAGAAATGGGCCAAATCTGCAAAATTATCTTTTTCAAGCACATTTAAATCCACGCCAAGTTGAACAAAACTTCGCCATACAATTATTAGAAACGGCTAAAACTTTTTATTGTAACTAGCAATGTTAACTAGCTCATAATAAGGTGTAAGAAATAGTTTTTCATGATTCTTGTTTTATTCTTGAACATATCCATATTTAAAAACAATTTCCATATTTCAGCTCATGTCCTGGTTTTGAGACAATTAGTCAAATCATATCATTGTCAGTTTTCAAGTATTTAAGCACTTTTTTGATATGATAAAATATAAACTAAATGGAAATTAAAAAGTATTGTTCTATTGTAATTAATAAAAGCTTTACAACATTGCATGATAAAAAAAATATTAATATTTTGTTTTTGCAATGTAGATTTAACTAGAAATGTGGGAAATTGGTTGTTTATTTATCAAATAAAATGTGGAAACTTAGATTCTAGATATATTTCAGCAGTTAATTTAGTCATCATAGGATAATTTTTACTTTCAGTGATTTATTTAGTAAGTTATGAAAATGAGTTTTGTTTTGAATTACAGATTAAACTGAAAAACAGGAAAGTGGATTTTGTCTCGAAAAGCAACAATGATTCCAATTCATGATATGTTTGAAAATGGAAAAGCTGACATTGTCTTGAAAACAGTCAATGGTTTAGTATAAAAAGGACTCCTTTTATAATTTTCAATTCTGAAAATATTTGAAAATTGGAAATTTTTGTCCTTGTGATGCGTTCTAGTTTTAACTGTCGATTTTTATTCTCAATATGGGCTGGGATCCTAAAAACCCGGTCTTTCAATTTGTGCCCATTTCTAAAACTCAGTGTTAGAAATGGACCAATGGTTAGTTTTGGACTAACGTCTCCTGTATTTGAGTATCATAAAAGAAATGAAACTCTGAATTTTTAGAATGTTTTAATTTTGAACAAGTTTCTAGGGGTTAGCAACTAACACAAAATTTGACCTTTTCTGAATTGTTTTACATTTCAAGCAATATTGTTTTATTGGATATATTAGTCCTGAGGTCAAATTTAAAGAATTTGAGCCAGATCTCAAATTAGAGATGTGGCTAAATCATGGTTGGTTTCACTTGAAATTGTATTCACTGTCTCGAGATTTGAGTCATAACTCAATTGCAATTATAACCGGTTTTTTGTTGTTTTAGTGAAACAGTTTAAATTCTTTAAATTCAGCCTCACTACACACACCTAATTAAGAATGACAAACAAAAAACCAATATTCAAATCTTTGAAATGCTTACAAGGGCTCAAAAACCCTAATAGCTCTTTTTTAACAACATTTGGGAGAATGCAAAAATAGACATTTTCCACTCCTGGCTCAAGAACGAGAAACGCAGGAACAACTAATTCCCCATTTGAGAACCATAAGGTATAAACATTAAAGTTATACTATAAGCTTTTCAGTAATACACGCCACAAATTGTTGCTTAACATTTCAACTCTGCATTGTCAAAAAAGTCCGATATAAAGGAAAGACACCAAGCAAAAAATACTGTTAAGATTGTGAAGTTACCTTTTTTAGTAAAATAATGCTAGATTAGCTAACAAACAAAAAACATAAATGGAAGTCATGGAAGTCAATGTCTTAGATTTTCTTTAAATGCACACATATAGCATATTGTATGAAAACATTAATTCCAAAATTTATTTAATTTTAATTTTGCTTTTTGCATATGCTTTTTATCCTAAATTTTTTAAAAAGTCTATCTTCCAATTTTCGAAAAACTTTTTGAAGAGATTCCCTATAATGTATTTAATAATCATGCAAAGTATCATTTTTGGCATTTACTTGCTGTTGGGGCTAGAGCTTTTTAACCTTAATTTTAGGATGTTTTTTGAAAATTTGTCTTTGCAAAGACAACTTTTCTAACAAAACAGATAGCTTCTCTACAACTTCAGTATAAAAAAATCAGAAATGTAATCAAATTATTTTTTAAAAGCTCTTTAACTTCAACAACAATAAAATGCCAACAATAAAACAAGAGAGCACCATGGATTTAGGCTAATCTAAATATTTTACTGTCCACTAAACGTTACTAATTACCATATCTTTGGTCAGTGTACTGCAAATTGTTGCAGAATGCACCAAAGCCTAGTTAAGGTTGAGAGTGAATTATGAATCATGCAACTTTTGAAGTGGTACCATGTAAAAAAACTATTTTTTTGAGTTTTCACGGAAATAGCCTGTTTTCACATTTTAGAACTTCAACACAAGATAACAATGACTTAGACAGTTCTCTTTTAAATAAAATTGTGTAAAAAAGGAGATTTCCCTTCACCCTCCTCCAAAACTTCCTGCACCCATATTTCCAACAACCTCATTACCAAAGTTTGCCTTCATTTCCATTATCTAAAAGCCACTCCCTTAGAACACAACTTAACAGTCTGGCCTTGTTCAGTGCTTATACAGTATGCAACTATTAAGGTTCTTAATAAATATTGGTAAGTACATACATAATTTGAACCTCCATAAATTTAAAGATCAAAAAGTAGTCTTTTACTTAACTCATCAGGAATGAAGTACACGCTGATACAGGTTTTAAGGGGGAACAGAGCCTTCAATAGACTTTAAATCAAATACCATAAACTGGTTTTTCACCCTTCTCAAAATGGAAACTGGATTACTCATGATAGGCAAAAGACACACTCCCCGTGTTTTAAAGTGATGGGACAGCATGCTTAGCGGGTTATTTTTTCTTTTAAAAATCTGTCCACGTGGGAATACACGTTAAAAGTGAGGACTATGGTATATCTCATACCTGTTACCCTTACAACCCCATCCTCATCCGCCTACCTCCTAAATTCCAACCTTATCCTACTTCCCGAGCAGATATAGTGGAACTCAGAAACTGCTTTGCTGTGGAATCTTAATCAAAACTTTCTGAGAAAGATCATCATTGGTATCATGGGTGTTCCTTTCCTAGGGGGTACACCCAAATCACCTTGAACCTTGCCGAATGCAGTTAAGGGTAGGAGGTCTTTTAATTTCTTTCTAACTTACTGCAAAACGTTGATACATGTAATGCAGCTGACAAAGGGGTAGGTAGGGTGACCCAAATCACACTTTTAAAAAAAAATTTTGGCACCCAGGTTCCAGTGGTTCCATACACATATAAGTCCTAAAAAAAATTCAGAAGTCTTGGAAGCCATTAATTTGGCCGAATTTAAAGAATTTAATCGGCGGTTTAAATTCAAGCCGCGGTTTAAATATGGTTAGTTCCACTTAAAATTGTATCAACTGTTTCAAGATTTAAGCCGGCGCTTAATTTAAACCGGGTTTTGGGGGATTTAAACCGCGGCTCAAATTCTTTAAATTCCATCTCTGGTTACACTATAAAAGTGTTCTTGGCTTAAAACCAGTTTTCAAATTAGAACTCTTAAGAGTTGAACTGCTACCTGAGCAATGAACTATCTACCTAATTTACCCCTTGGCCCTTAGATATGAAATTTCTACCTAATTGACCCCTATATATGAAGTATCTATCTAATTGACCCACTGGATATAAACTACTTCCTGGTAGACTCCCTATCTATGATCTATCTATCCAATTGCCCCCCTTGATATGAAATACTTCCTGATTGACCCGGCCCCTAGATATGAACTGATTTCTGATTGACTTCCCAGTTATGAACTACTACCTGATTGACCCACTAGCTCTGAACTATCTACCTGATTGACTCCCTCGATATAAACTGTTACCTGATTAACCCTTTAGATATGAATTGATTCCTGATTGACCCCCTAGCTCTGAACTATCTACCTGATTGACTCCCTAGATATAAACTGTTACCTGATTAAACCTTTAGGTATGAATTGATTCCTGATTGACCCCCTAGCTCTGAACTATCTACCTGATTGACCCCCTAGCTATGAACTGCTACCTGATTGACCTACTAGTTACAAACTTTCTACTTGATTGACCCCCAAGCTCAGATCTATCTACCTGATTAAATCACTAGCTGTTTACTTTCTACCTGATTGACCCTCTAGCTATGAAATGATATCTAATTTACTTCCCTGTTATGAACTACTATCTCATTGACCCCCTAGTTATAAACAGCTACCTGACTGACCTCCTAGTTACAAACTATCTACTTGATTGACCCCCAAGCTTAGATCTATCTAGCTGATTATCCCTCTAGATATGAATTTATTCCTGATTGACCCCCCTTGCTATGAACTGCTACCTGATTGACCTACTAGTTACAAACTTTCTACTTGATTGACCCCCAAGCTCAGATCTATCTACCTTATTGACCCTTTGATATGACTCCCTAGCTCTGAAATATCTACCTGATTGATCCCCTAACTATAAATTGCGACCTGTTTAACCTTCTAGCCATAAACTTTCGACCTGATTGCGCACTTAACTATGAACTACCAGATTGACCCCCTGGCTATGATTGACCTAACTCATTGACCTGCTTGCTATCAATCTACCTGATGAACCGTATTAGCAATGAACTGCTACCTGTTTGACCTCTGAGCTATGAGTTAGCTTCATTTACCTCCTAGCTATCTGTTAACGGCTTTATTTATACATCTCATTAGCAGGACCAACCCCTGTATGTGCAATTGTTGGTTTGTGAGCATTGAAACTGATTTTAAAAATAAAATAAGTCGCAAATAGAACTTAAATTGCAAAAGCCTAGAAGTACCTAAAACCAGTACACTTATTGCCTGATACGATTTTTTTGTCAAAAAGTGAAATCAACAATTATGGTTAAACTAATAGATGTAGTTTAATTGAATTTTAAAATCGTCTCGTACCGGGCCTAACAGCAACATTTAATTTTTACATGTATCCGATCTCAAAAAGATAAAGGCCCAACTTTCCTTAAAGTGCTCTACATATCCCTTGTAACCATGCATGTTCGAATTCAGAAAAAAGGTAAAATTTACACAAATTTGGGCCACCCCACTGCTAGGCTTTACGGTTCATATATTCTACATCATTATTCTCTGTGATGAAACATATAAAACAATCAGCGATAGAAATAATTTTCTCAGGTAAATGAATAAGATTTGAACCTTAATAATTTAATATGTTAGCATCTTTTCTTCAGACAAACGGCATTGAAGTGTGATGATGAGTTTTACAGAGAGAACCTTAACTTAGGTAATATTCTGATGATTTTGATATTTAAAGTTTTAAACTAAATCATCTCTCATAAATGATATAATGCAAATATATGACTAAAACTTTCAGTTATTGGGATGTTAGAGAATCTGAAACCTTTTGAGGCTTTGGGATTCTTCTCTGTGGACAAGACAACATTTATGACAATCATAAGCAATGCCATTGCATACCTTGTTATTATGATTCAGTTTGGTTAGACTTTTTTTGCATGCATGTATGTTAGTTTGTTTTTGTTCTTTACATGATACATACCATTACAGCAATCTTAATAAAAATTCTACATTTAAACAAATTTGCCTCTTCAAAGAAAAAAATCATGTATAATTTACCTGGCCAGACTGACCAATGATTGACTACTTGACATTTTCCTGAAATTTTGAATTTAAAGGGACAGTAAAGGAAAAATTAAAGGGGGTATAGGCTGAAAGCTAATCACTTTAGCTCTTGATCGCGACCCATGAAAGTTTTATCTGATGTTCCTGTCTCGAGAAATTGATATAAAACTGTGTTATAATTATACGAAAATTCATATATGTAAAATTTTGAAAATCTGAAACTTAAATCACGTGACCGGAACTATTACCAATGGCAGAGCAGTATACTGGTCACGTGTCTCCGCCTGTATCACGTGACCACTTTACTGCACTGCCATTGGTGGAATTTCTGGTCAAGTAATACGGACGTAAAAATAATATTATGAATGAAATCTATTGAAAATTGAAACAACAAATATAAAAGTAAACCTAAATTACAATTAGCTTTCTCTGGGATATCATCTTTTTCAGATTGGTTGCTGTTTTTCTGAGCATGGTCTGTTTAAACCTACTATTTCTATACGAAATTGTATATATATGCATTTTCGTACAAGTTTGAAACAGCTTTATATCAACTCTCGAGTTAGGAACTTCAGATAGGCGTCTCAAGGGTCTCGATGAAAAGCTAAAGTGATTAGCTTTCAGCCTATACCCCCTTTCATTTTTCCTTTACTGTCCCTTTAAGAAAGAAATATCCAACTTTAAAGGAAGCATCAAAACAGTGGCATATATAATTTTTTCTAGTTCCAGGTAGGGGAATGGAGGAGTGATCACGAGATTTTGAATGTTTGTTGTAGGAGGGAGAAAGTTTTGAAAGTGTAAAATTTTATATTAAAAAGTCGTCTTGTGAAGTTTTTATGTTTTATGTTTGCTAATTTTTATCATTCTGGTCCTCAGAAACATTGTTATTCAACTAGATGGAAATCCAAATTCACAAAATGGGGTTATTTTGAGTTGATTTGGCGTTAACATCGACCCTTTGACGACATACTTATTTACAGCATTTCTCCGTAGAAATGTCACAAGTTTAAAACTTTTTAAACATTTATTATTTTGAATTAAGATAAATTCTCCGTCAGATGCTCTATCCTAACACAATGTACATAATAGCCTTAAGTTGTCACATACGTACATAAAATACCTTGAAAGGAAGACTCATAACATTTTCAATAAATCTGAAATAAGTGTTAATTATTGTATAATGTATACAAGTCATTTTATATATTTCACAGTCTAGACAGATCATTAATCAATTCATATTGTCTAAACTAGAAATCTTCATGTAATAAATATTTAATTGGTTTTGAGTTGAATTACATATAAACGTGAAATGGTAGAGGGGGGGGAGAGAGTAAACAAAAATAGTCTTAGATACAAAATTTAGTTCCTTTAAACTGTAGATTGACATTTCTTTATTAACACAACTTTCATAAAAAGAGTAAATGCTAAGAAGTATTTTTTATAATTATGAGAAAAAAAATTATCGTGAACACTGAACAGTTGCTTAGCGGATACATTTTATGTACACAATGATGGTCCTGGTTCTCTGGGAGTCCATCCAGACCAGGAGACCTATGTGAGGCACATGACTCCAAGGCATTCTTCAACTCCTTACATAATCGGTTGTATGTATCTCAGTAAAGTTGAGGAAAGCATGTTTTTCCGTTCAACTACTTCTCGCTATTCAATTAATTTGGTTTCTAAGCAGATTTATTGATTTAATCGATCAAAATAACCAGGTTTGCAACTAGAGCTTCATGGACTCCATGCGTATGAATAAGTATATGAAAATATTTCTTGTCACTTCGCCTGGTTTACATTTTTTTAGGATTTACTTCTGACAAGAAGGTTACAATATTTAGCATTCATAAACTAGATCTCAGATACGAAAAAGACAGGGGTGTTTATTTTAAAGAATTAACCCCCCCCCCCACGGAGGGAAATGATTTTTGAAGATCTAGGAGAAAAAAAATGAAAAATTGGAAATGAAAAGGCAAGTTTTTTCGTCCTTTTTCACACTTTGCGCCCAAATCATTTATTTTTCATTATTCAGCAAATATACCCTAAAAAAATTACCTAACTTGTGGGGGGGGGGGGGGAAAAGGTTTTAATTTAAAAGGAAAAAAAATTTTTTAGGAAAATATACACCCCTGGAAATAGGTATAACTGTACAGTGTAAACTACAGCTAGTTCTAAAAGTACAAATATAAAATACTGAGTTATTTATTGTTGATCCATTTCAGCTTTCATCATCGTCATCATCATAGTTGAGCTTAGGTTGAAGTTTCCATTGAGGAGCCTGAATTCAAACATGTTATAAAGATAAAGATAAAGATAAAGAGATCAAATCTGTAAGCCTCCCCATTTTGGGAGACCAAGATTGCCCAAGGGTTTAAGCCCATTTAAGCGCTGCCACCAGAGATACCACCAGGAGGCGTTGCAGGATCAGAGTCCACAAGTATATCTTACCGCAGCCTGGTAGCCTGAGTCCGAATTTAATGAATTTAAACTACGTCACAAATCCAGGAAAAACCGGTTTTCAATTGAGCGCTGGCTTAAATCTTGAAAAATTTTGTACAATTTTAAGTGGAACCAACCATATTTGAGCCGTAGCTTGAATTTAAGCTGCGGCTCAAATTCTTTAAATTCGGCCTCTGGTGTACTAAAATCTGTTTTGTCAACAAAAAATTGAGGTTTTGATTTTTTGGAGTAAAATGGAAACCCTCCCCCGTGGAACTGGAAAGAGATGTAAACCAAACACGATTTTCTCCGACCCAGAAATGGATTTGTCGTATTACCGGTTTTACACCCGATAATGTCACAAAAATTAAATTAAAAGTTCAATTTTTTATCTAAATCATAACACTCTAGAGAAGAGGTTCTAATTTTATTATTTAAACCCATCAAACCCATTTTAGATCATAAATTGAAATTTCTAATTTTTTAAATCATATCACTCAAAATAAGAGGTTTCAAATAAATCTTTGTGAAAAATATTAGTTAACCCAACCCAATTTTGAATTTGATACTCATAATATCCCGATCACTTGATCTTGATATCTACAATGGACACTTTTAATTTGAGGTTTATTGGTTTATCTCTTTATTTCAGTTATCTATCTTAAGGCTATACGGATTATTGAATTAAATTTAAATTAACAGATTAACAAAAAAACAAGATCAAGCATCGATCTTGGTATTCGCAATAAAAGAGTTCTCAGTTAAGTTTATTTTTTTTGATCTTTTATTGATCACCTGATTATTTTTTGATGTTTTCTTAGTTTTCTCTACTTCTTCATTTTCATGCTCCACATCTATTTTTGGTGAATACATCAGCCTACACAAAACAATAATGTGTAGAGTAATTAAATGCAGTTAAGTACAGGTTGTCCAAATAAACATGAGATTTAAAGACGATATAAATATCAACTTTGATTTTTTTTTAATTCTTTGAGTGTTTAAAATTGGGTTTTATTTTAAAAAGGAAATGGATATGTTAAATATTTTCAGTTTATAAAATGAACAAATTAACAAAGGTATTAATGTCTGAAGTCCAGTCCAAGGGGGGGGGGGG